TATCTTAAATGTTTGGGGCCAAGCTAAAGCGTCAAATGTTGTGCTCCCTCCCGTTGGTTCCCGTACCATCCGGAATCCTTGTGCGTTTTCAGATTTTTTTTTTTTTTTTTTCAGGAACAGGAACAGGAGGAGCTACATGAAAAGCCAGCGGGAAGGGGGCAGTACAGGGGCCACTGCAGCGGACGTGGCTTACATGAGCATGTGTTTTTAAGCCTCGTTGAGCACAAAACAATTAATATTGTGCCCGCCCACAGCTAAGCACAAATCAGCCTCCTGTGAAATGTGAAACACAAAAGCTCACGGTGGCAGCCAACGCAGCAACAACGGCAACCGGAAGCGGAAGCGCACAACTCTTTGCGCGAATTAATCACACAGCAACTACAGCTACAGCTACAACTACCACTACAGAAGCAGCAAACAGCAATGAGAACAAGAGCAGGAACAGCAAAATCAGCAGAGGAACGACATGGACACGCATATAAAATTCGCCCCGTTGGCCCTTCAGCTTGTATTCGCTTACATGGCGCACGAATAAAGAGCTACGGTGAAGCCCTTCCGCCAATATTAGTCCACCACTTGACCCCACACAAACAGGAACAATGGATATTAGCCTAGATATTATTTTACGATTCCCTGAAGTTTTTAAAGATTTAAGTTAGCACCTAAACTTTCCAGTTGGGTTTAAAATTAAACCTTGAAATTAGTTTTTTTTTGGTAGGAAAGCTATATACATTTTTTATAAGCCATAAATATTATCTTGGCATCGATTTATAAAAAAAAATTTAATAAAAATCAATGAAAACACAATGAAAAACAAAAACAATAGTCATATAAATTCCTTTCTGCCCAAGAATGTGGGAAAATTTTTAAAACAATTATTGTTTTTAATGGGAATTTAAATTTATTTTCCATTGATGTTCTGTACATGAGGTTCCTCATTATATTGCACTTAAAAACAAAACAGTGGACTTATTACAAAGCTTAAATATATATGTAAAATGTTCTTTTCTAATAATTTATTTTGATTTATATTTTATTTTAGTAAATTTATTTTATTATACATTTATTTTATTTCCCCCAAATAACCAGTTGCCATTTCCTCGACCCCGCCCATCCATTATCATTTCTCGAACCTAATCAAATCAGGAACAGTGCAATTCCCTTGAGAGGATCTTCACTGTGGCCCGGCTGGCTCGAGTGTGGTCACTAACTCCTCCATGGCCGTCGTCTCAGTACCGTCAAACGACAGTGCAGGGAGCTAATTAAATATGCGTGCCTTGCCTCAATGCCCCGGCCGCTCGGGGGATTGCGTGCCCGATGGCTCCTGCTCCTGTTTCTGCCCCAGATCCTGCTCTTGCTCCCCTTAAAGGCCCAAAAGGACCCACCTTGGCCAGCTTTAAAGTCCCCCCAGTTTATGGCGGGGTTACGCCCCCTCGGGCGTATCTCTGTGTGTGTGCCTATTTCGGGGGCATATTTGCTAATCATTTTACGTGCCGTCCCCCCCTCGACGGATCACGATCCGCGTTCGCGTCTGTACACGGTTTATTGTTTTTTAAAACGTGGGCGTGGTCCAACAGTCCGTCGGAGGAGAAGGAGGAGTGAATTTAACGAGCGGCAGCTGGGACAACGGCCATTTGTAATGCAAATTAAATAAACATGATTTTTATATGATTTCGGTGTAGCTTGTCGTGCGGTGCGAATGCATTGTCCTTGAGCCTGCCCGCCAGCCCACCATTCGTGCCAGTGTGTCGGTGTCAATTTTATGAGCCGTCAGTCATTTCGCATTTCGCCAAACTCGGAGCAACGCCTTCGAGTGTAATTTAATTGAATAATTAAAATTTTTATTGCCGCCGTGTGTGTTTCTGTATGTTTGCTGTTGTGTTCGTGAGCAGGGGGCCGTGGGGGGCGTGGAGCGTGGGGCGTGTTGGAGGATATGCAAAGCGTGTCATTTTAATTTACGACCATGACGTTCAGCATAGCCAGATAATAAACACGCTCGCAATTAAGTATACGCCGGGGCGTACTCCTGCACATCCATCCAAAGTCATCTCGGCACGCAAACCTCAAAGTTCGAGAGGGGCAGAAATCTCTGGAATCATTTGAACAGGACAATATTAGGGAAATGAAATATTTAAAATAAATAGGGTAAGAAGTAAGAAATTAAGAAAGATACTTTCAAGAGAGACCAAAATCGTACAAATAATAATATTAATGCTTCTCATCAAAGATTAAGCTTAAGAAAAGGAATGTACTTGGTTCCTTAGTTATAAAAGTAATTGGTCAGCGTAACTAAGGCAGTCTTAAAATAGGATGAAATAAAGACAATTTGAAGGCCTAATTTATTTTATTTGGGTATTTACACAATTTTTCCTATACGAAGTAAAAGAATACGAGGCATTTATTTTATCTTCTGCCTAGAAAATATTTCGTAAATTATGAAGAGTCAGAATTTTGTGAGTGGCAAAATGTTCGCATTTCATCGAAACTATCTAATAGCACTGCCCTAACAACATTCCAGCTATTATTTGCCGGTTGACATGGCCAGGTCTGTGGTACCGAAAATGGGCCAGTTGACAGAATGTAAGTGTGTGCTTAGTTTTGTTGGATCGTGTATTTAGGCACACGAATTCCAATAACCTTTGTTGCAGCCCCCTCAGACCCTCCCTGCAACGCATGCGACACAGTTTCAATAAACAACAATAAAATTGTGCATAAATACAATGCAAATATGAGCCACGTTGCACAAGGATATTCGACCGACAGGCGTATCCGCTTTTGCACCCCGAAAATGGCATTTCAAATGCATATTTTGCTTTTTTTGGCCAGCAAATAAAAAAGAATGAAAATACGGGCTTGCAAAATATTACACAACATTTGAAAGAGTTTTAAAACCGACTCGAAAGCACAGCGCCCAGCACAGCAAAAATGCGAAACAGTTTTATTTATTTTATAGCTCGCTCAGCACCGTTTGCATTCGCATCCGTACATCCATGCATCTGAACTGGAATACCCGTGTACTGCATATGTATCTGCATCCGTATCCGTATCTCTGAATATGGATCTGCGCCTGCATCTGTGTTCCGTCTGTGTCATTTGTTTGAGCTCCGGCCTGGCCCAAAATAAAAAGGAGAAGTAAAACACAAATGGAAAGCGAAAATATAGTATTTAAAAAGCGATTTCATGTTGTTTATATTTGTGCGAGCTGAAAGCTATCGATGATTGGTTCGGGGCAGTCCTTTGGTCCCTTAGAGAGCGGATTTAAATTTGGGCTTTGGCACAAAGCGGCATGGAGCGGGGGGAACGAGTACCAGGTAATCGCGTTGGCCCCCAACTAAGTTACATCATTTTTGCATTTGCGGGCAGCGAGCGAGAGAAATGGAATCATGTAATTGTAATTGAAATGAAGTAAGCGTGAATTTCGCTTAAAAAAATACCATCCAGCAGCAGCATGAAAAGTGACTGCCAGGGCAGTCGCCGTGGCAGCGATAAGAGCCCCAGCTCCGAGCTCTGGGCAGCAGCAGCAGCAGCAGCGAAATGTTTGTTTCCTTTCAAATCAGTACACTTCCTTTCGGCCTGGCCTTTCCACGCCGCTCCACAGAAAGTGCACGGGAGGCCGCGCGCGGCCAAGGAAAATAAATGAAAATCACTTGAAAATACTAACGAGCTGTTACGCTTGGCAAGAAAAATATAATCAGCAGCATCATGTCTGCAGGTGCACTTAAAAGGCGTTCACTTTTACCCCGCCACGCCCCATGGCTGGAGAGAGCCCAAAAACTACAGAAAATACAGGGCACGCTCAATAAAGTCCAGGGTTTTCCTTTTATTACTATATTAAAGGAAAGGTTGTATATATACAATATTAAATTCACCAGCTTACCATTATTATTTTCCTGTTAATGAATTCAACGTGGAGCACGTGCAATACCAGGAATTTTCTTCTCAAAATGTTATTCAATGCAAATGGTAAAATTCTGAATTCACAACTTCTTAATTAAAATATACAATAATAAGATTTATTGCTTAAAAGTGTATTTAACACAGAGTTCACTCCTTAGAGAGTGCCCTGTATAATAGAAAAAAGCAAGAAAACGGAACAATGGGCATACAAAAAAAAAAAAAAAAAGAGTTGTTGAAACAATTAAAACTAACCTTTTTGGTAAAAAGGTGAAGGCGAACAAAGCACAATGGCAAATGGAAATGTTTAAAGTTGTAACGACGCCCGAAAGAAATGGAATCACAGCAATCAGCTTTTGTCCAGTCTTTCCCCAAAAGCGGTCCAACCACTTTGCAGCCGTCCGACTGCCAGCTTGAATTGAAAATCCACTCAAATCCACTGCCATCCACTGCACTCGACTGAAGGAGTGCAGGTTTGGGCAGCCCGCGCCGCTCGTGAAGGCCGCCGTGGATCGTGATCGTGGCGAGACTATAATGAAGCTGCACTGCGACCGCAATGGAGGCGCGTGCCAAACAGGCGGACTCTAATTCCTTGTCGTTGTCATGGCAAAATGACTTTGAACTTTATTGTTTTTCCAAGTGTTGGCCGAGGAGCCGGTTTCCATGAGTTGGTTATTACTCGTACATTTTCTTTTTCTGGGTTTTTTGTGCGATTTGAATTGATCGCGTAACTTAATTCATAAATGCGGCAAGAGAGCGAGAGAAATGGCAAATCACAAATGGCAAAAATGGTAGGGGAGACAGGTAGAGGCTGAGGCAGAGACAGAGCAGACTGGCAGCAGGTCAACAAATGGCAAACACTCACTTTTGGCCGACCGCCTTCTATCAACACAGCTAAAGCTGGAGCTGGGTCTGGAGTTTGAGCTGAAGCTCTAGCTGATGCTGGAAGCTGAAGCTGAAAATTGTGTAAGAGGAAAATACTTGGATCTGTCCTAGTCGGCGGCATATAAAAACGCTGTCCCGGGCACAATTCGCAGCAGTCGGACCGCAGCAGTCAAGGTCTGAATCCCATCCCAACCAGAGTTCGAAGTCAGCCACCAAGTCCAATGGCGAGAGTTAATTTGGTGAGTGTGCTAGAGAGTGGAGAGAATGTGCAGGATATTAAAAATGCATTATGCAAAAGGGCTTGACATTCAGAATATTTCTATACCCACTACACATTGGATACCAGAGTATATTGTGTTTACTTATAAGAGAAAAAAAGAAAGCTCCAAAAGGTTTTAAGTTATTGTGAAGATAAAGAAATATCCCAATGCAGAGACATTAATATTACGGCTCAAGTAAACTGGATACTAAGTATCTAGTAATAAAATCACACTGGGTACCTTAAGTTCGATTGAATTCAACTTACTTCCTTTTCACGACTTTAGTGTTTTGCATTTTAAATCGCTTTGCATTATCCTTTGCAGCAGATGCCGCTCATTGCAGCCGCCACCACCATCCTGACCATTGTCAGTGCGGCAACCTCAGCGGAGACGGCCAAGAACCCCCCTCCATCGTATCACAATGTGGGGTCTTTGTTCGGTGGAAATCGATGGCTGCCTATGGATCAGGCACATCAGCTTCATCCGAATCATAGGTACGGTTCTGTGGGTGAGCGGCGTGCCTACAGCAGAAGCCATTCCGCGCAAGGATTATCCTCGGTGCTCAATGGCCTCACAAATCTCTCGGGCCTGGGTCACATTAGTAATGGCTACGGCTCTGTGGCGCCCACCCACACGGAAGCCCTGGCCCTGGGATCCACGAAGCAGGAGATACCTATTTACGAGGAGAACAATGAAGAAGCTGCCGTAGCGGCCGTGGCAGCAGCTGGAGCCCATGATTTTGGATCGGGAAGTGGGCAAGCTGGTGGTGGCCTGGAGGACAATCAGCAGCACTCGCCGATTTACAATTATCCCGGTGGAGGAGGATTCCAGCCCTCTTACGGAGCAGCAACATCAGCATCTGGTGTTGAACAGGGTTACGGATCCTGGTCTGCATCGTCGGGCCCGGAGGAGCAGGCGGAGCAGCAGGCGCCGCATCCGTATGCGTACGATAAAATCTCGATGGGAAATTTCCTGCCGCCATATGACCAGGGTCCTGGATACGGGGACCAGCAGGGGCAACTCTACCATCATCAGCAGCAGTCGCAGCTCCAGCAACAGCAGGAGCAGCTCTTTCACCAGCACCAACAGCAGCAGCAACAGCAGCTTCAGCAGGAGCAGGAGCACCACCCGTCTTCCTATTTTAGCCAACACGACCCCTCACCATCCGGTTCCGGCTCGGCATCGGCCTCATCCGCCTCGAGCGGATCTGGTGGTGACGACTACGAAGAGCATCCCGATGCTGGCCAGGAGCAGAGCTCCAACTACTTGTCCGAGGCAAGTGGTCATGGCCAGGCCCACACCCACCACTCGCACCACGTGGACATCATCAACTACGTGCCGGTGAAGCACGTGAAGAAGCAGCATGTGCCTGTGGAAAAGGAGGTAAAGATTCCCGTCTCGCATGCAGTCATCATACCCGTTCGCAAGCCCGTTCCCATCCACATACCGATCACCAAGAACGTCCAGGTGGCGGTCGAAAAGGAGCTGAAGGTGCCCGTGGAGCGGCTGGTGCCCGTGCCCGTGGAGAAGCACATTCCGGTGCCGGTGGAGAAGCATGTGCCGTATCATGTGGTCAAGTATGTGCCCATCAAGGTGCCCAAGCCGTTTCCCGTGAAGGTGCCCGTTTTCAAGACGGTGCTGCACAAGATCAAGAGCTGGTGGTAGGAACCGAGTAAGAATATATTCTCATATATGTATCTATGTAGCCGTAAATTTCGGCATACTTTTCTCAGCATCCTCATTTGCATTCAGCGCACGAGTATTTCGTTGTAATTATAAGCACATTACGCATACGCCCCATATGTCAAGCCAAAGCGAACATCGTTATGCAGTTTTGCACATTTCGTATTCCATTTTTAATGTCGAGTTTTAAAATTCATTTAATCCCCGTGATGTACAACATTTTTGTGACTCATTTAACATTACAACGATTTGCATTAAAATACAAACACGAACGGAAACCGAACCAGCAACAGCAACAGAAACAGAATCGCAAAAGAGCGGAAGAGGCACACACACGCAGGCATTGCAAGACCGAGGTTTTTAGCAGCGATTTCACGGTGCATTTGTCATGGACATAACCCCGTTCCCGTGTCCCATTTCCCATTTCCCCGTTCTCCCAGTCTCCTCTCATTTATTTAATTTCACTTTAAGCGCACACAATGAAATTTGTGTTTAATGAAATGAAATTCATCTTCACAAAAGGCTCGCTCGCGCTCCACCGTTGTTCTCAGGCTGCCAAATGCCATTTCCAGACCATTACATCGCCAGTTCGGCCCCGCCAGTGGGCTGCACTGCCATTACCCGGAGCAGTTTCCCGAGATCCCGAGAGTCGCCGGGCCTAATTAAATTAAGTGCACACCTTTGTTGTCCCGCTACGCGCTGGCATGCCGCCCCGTGTTCGGGCACCGGCCTTCCTTCGCTGTCACTTCTGCAGTTCTCTCCTTTGATTTGCAGCCCGATTGAATTGGCCCAGGGACTCCACTCTCCAAACCATTTTTCTTCCTTTCCTTCACCACAAAAAAAAAAAAAAAAAGGGGGGGGAAAAACAGTGCCTTGAAAGTATGCTGCTTCAGATTTGTGTTCAGCTTTTAAATATGCTGCACTGGGCAGAGGAGGTGACACTACATGCGGAAAGGGTAACATATCGTTTTCAGTAAATTTTCTCGCCAGCAATCCTTCTTGCCAGCACGCACAGCCTCTTTCCTCTGAGAGCATATTTTACACTCTAAAATAATAAAGTGAATATTTAAAATTAGTCTTTTTGAAGGGTAGCTTAAGCTTAATCTAGGACTAATATTATAATCAATTTTTATAAAGTTTTTTAAAACATACAAATAAAGTTGTGAGAGTCTTAATCTTTCATAAAATCTATTCATGTTTTTGGTTATTTAATGAAAATGATAATTATGAAATAATTAAGAAAGAAATTTCTTTGAAATTAAAGATGTCTTTTTTTTAGCTGGGAAATTCTGAGGAAAGTATAAAATATTCAAAAAATATATCTAAATTCTGTTAAGGTATTTTGTAATTATACAACATAATTGTATAATATTCTCCTCCATATTTATACACTGTTGTGCTTTGCCCTATTTTTTTCTCTTTGTTATTTTTTTAATTATATATCTGGTTTAGTTCTGAAAATCGATGACAACTTTTTCTGCGTGTCTTCCTGCTGGTATGTATATCCATTGTCCTGTGTTCGGCGCGGATGCGGTTCCTCGGTTCCTCACTTGTCAGTCACGCGGCCGTCTGTGACTTTTTCGCGGGCCGCCTCCTGCCGCAGGACGCCGCGTCCTTCAACCCGTTTTGCCACTTGCGAGCTGCCGCTACTCTTGCTCCATTTACTGTGTATTTTTGATGTCTAAATTGCATTTTATTATGTCGCTCGTTCGGTGGGAAAACGAAAAAAAAAAGAAGAAAAAAGCGGAGGAGCTCCTTCTATGCCACATATGTTGGCGGCGAACGTTCGTTGCCGGGTCTCTTCGGTCTTTGGTCGTCACATGTCGTTGTTGCTGGCTTTGTTGTTGCGGTTGTAAATTTTATTTATCATTTAACATTTTTTACGCTCTTTATGCCCCTCCAGTCGGGCGGTTAGTCAGGAAGAGGAAGCCGCTCCACCCAGCGACACACTTTAAGTGACTTTTGAAGTACTTTATTTTGCATACAAAATATTTGCCTTGCCTTGCCTTGCCGTCATGTGCATGCGTGCGTATACGTAATATTGCTGCCAACTCACTGTGTAAGTTGGACTGGCTTCCGTTTCATTCTTGTTGATGATTATGAGGCTGCTTTTTTCGCTGCCTCTGCCGCCGCCCTTTTACACACTTTTTATGTTAAATTAAACATTTAAAATGTTATTATGATTCTTATTAGTGCCATTCTAACCGCAATACTGTTTTCACTTTGCGAGCATAAAAAGGTATTTGGTATTTAATTAACTTTGCAGTTTCTCGCCTCTTCAATGGCCGTATCCATCTATGCACATGCATTATTAGTTTCTGCAGAGTTTGCCTTGTGGTGGACACACAAAATTAATTAATTGAAATTAGAGTCAAAAAGAGAGTGCAAATGGCAGCAGTGGGTCTGCACAGCCAATAGATACACATTAGACCGAAATGTGAATATGAGAATGTTTATTTGTTGTCGTTGGCTTTTGTGTGCAGTTGACAGAACCTCGGGATAATAATATCGGCTACACATAAAATCAGTATTTCCAATTTGCTGCATTTATACACAAATGTTTAATTAATTCAATTTTGATCGGTATCTCTGCTGCCGCCTGTTAAACAGGCTAAAAACATTATAGACAGTACTTGGGTGGGCGCAAACTTTTGCTTATGCTATTGGGTATAGATATAGATATGGCCTCACATACCCCTCCATTTCGGGGAGCAGTAAACAAAACAGTTGGTTTTAATAACGGCCAAGTGCATGTGTGCCATGTGGCTGAAAGAGAGAGGAAGAGCTGCCACTATGTTTGCACTTTTATTAAAAAACTTTTGCATAATGAAAGTTTCGAGCTCGCTCTCCAAATTGCAGACGCAATATACAACTCCCGTAAAGTTCGGTTCGGTTTAGCTATTTATATAAATATTTTCGCACAACTTTTGCCCAAAAATTATTTTTTGAAGTGTTTATGATGCCCAACTCCTTTGGCTTTGTCTCTGCCAAACTCATACTCCTCCTTGAATGGCATTCATTTCATTTACGGAACTTTTTATTGATTGCTCTCTTGCTTTGTGATGCACTTGGAAAAAATTAAATAAAGTTAAAGATTTATTTTTATAAATTAAGTCTTAATAATACCTTCTGCATTTATTTTAAATTCAACAATTTATTAGAATTTATCACAATGTTATAATATAGACTTTCATATCATCTTTTGCTTTATATATTAAATATCGTTTATCGTCATTTTCTTACTACCCTATTTGATAGTAATTTAATCGCAGATAATATATTTCTTTCAGTGCACACCCACCACACGCATTCCTGTGCCATTTAGGTGGGAATATTTGCTAGAGTATGCGGACACAGGCAGTAACAACAATGATGGCTATATAATGGGAATACGAATTTTTATTGTGGCCACAATGACTGGCCAGGCCATGGCTGTCTGCCTGGGTCTGGCTTGAGCTCTGGGGTGGCCCTTTCTGGTGTGATATTAGAAGCACTAAGGAGGCCCGCGATGAAGACTCTCTCTAAAAGCAATGATACTTTTATCCCCCCATGTCATTGCCACGTAAGACCGCCACTCAGCGCGATGGCTGCTGGCTCAGTCGCATCCTTGGGCCGCTGATGGTGGCTGATGGCTGCTGATGGGCGCTCACATTGTCGCCGTCTTCGGGTGTGGATTTTCGGGATATGCGGCGCTACATGTTATGAATTTTTTAGGGTCCTCTGCCAGGGAATGGCGGCAGAAGACGGGGCGGAGGCGGATGCGGGCAGACAATAATAAAAGCCTCTGGCACGTGCACAGTCGCAATACCCGTGCGCCGAGATTATGTCTACGTTTTGCTCAAATGATTTACACATCGTCTGCGCGTCGCCCTTGCCTTTTGCCATCTTTTTTTGGGTCCAGGTTGAGTTCGCTCCTGTCCCAGGCTGTCCGCAATCTGCTCTGGCGGAGATCTGGGTGCGCTAACGGTATACCAATTACCAATTTGCCATTGCTCCTCGCGGAATTTTCGAATTTGCGATGACGGTTCAGGTCCACGTCCAGGTTGGGAGCCCGAGCCCCGTTTGTGCACCGGAAATTGCCCGACATTGAATGACGGCATTACCAAGGCACTGGCTTATGGAAATAGCTCTTAAAGCTGGCCACAGAGATGTAAATATTATTTGCCATACAGCCCATTAATGCGGGTTTAAAATTTCATGAGATATATAGCCTCGAATGAGATTAACTAAACGGAAAACAAAAGCCAGAAGTGACGCCCAATTTCCACCTGAAACCTCATAAACTTTTATTTAAAAAGTTAACTTTAAGAAGTTAATACAGAAAATAAAGTTTTCTTGTGTGAAATATACTAAAGTTAATGTGCTTTGGTGGCAGGTATTGATTACCGTGCTGAAGGCGGGTGTTAAACAAGAAACAGAGTACTGTAATGCTTCAATGTAGTATAACTCAACAGACGTACATAACTTGTATATCTGCAATCAAGTTGAACTCTGTTTTGCGTTAAGTTTACCATGTTTTCCAGTTGCATATGACTGAGATACGGACGGCGGACAGTTGGAAGTCCTTCTGAAACAAACTCGTATGTGCAGACAGGCATTTGTTTCGCCAGAATGACTGGCGGAGGGCGTTGCGCAACGGAAGTGCAGCAGCGTATCTATAAGATACATACCGCACCGACTTTATGTAGTTTTTGCAGTTGGCTTTTATGGCACTCAAAACCGGGTGTCTGCGTGCGGCAAAGGTAAGTGCTGTACTGTGCTGTACTGGTGTCTGTGTCTTAGAATGTTCTCTCGGGTCAGGTGCATCGTTGTTGCCACTCTAGTTGCTCTTGTTGCAGTTGCAACTTGTGCTGCCTGCTAGCTGCTCCTGCTGGCTTTCGACCCAGTCAGGCGTGGCAAATTGCAAACTAATTTATTAAAAACGGATATATGAGCAGAATTTATATATTGTGCCGGGGTTCAGCTCATTGCGCTGCAATATTGCCGGAGTTCATAATTCCTGCACTGCCTGGCTGGCGGGTGGTAAATAATGTGCTGTCAGCATGTCAACGGCTTCGCCAAGCTCCCTCTTCCCTTGGTTTAAACACTCTGTTTGTGCCCATTTGTTTATTGTGCACTGTGCTGAGAGCCCAAAGAGTTTTTGCTGTTGATTTTAAACATTTTTGCTCATTATGTGTTTGTCTCTGCAATGAAACGGTAGTGGTAGCATCACCAACTCAGCTCAACTGTCGACTGACTGGTCACAGTTTGAATTTGAAATATGATCCGGAGCTGGAGATATTTGCTTTTCAGCCATTTAGTTTCATTTCTCAACTGACTGGTGTCATCTGCAGCTGGGACTGAATCTGTTGCTCTACACTGAGAGCAATGTGATCTTAAATTATGGATCTATAGATATTATTTGATCAAGAACAAAATTAAGTAGAAATGGTAGGTAATTTATGAACAACTGATAACTGATATTAATAATATCCCAAGAATATAAAACAATCTAGACAAGGAAACACAATCTGCTTCAGTAAAAGCGAGTTGTCTTTACATATTCAAATATTTTCTTTTTTTATAAAATCAAGAATACTAATACCATATAAATTGACACTATTTTTTGTTGTGTGTGCCTGTAGTTAGAGTTACAGCTGCATCTACAGCTTTGTTTCTCCTGACGCCGAGCTGACGATTCTCTGGGCAAACTGAAGGTAATCATATCTCTGCATTTTCCAGCATAAGTTGTCAATCAAAGCGAAAGCCGCTTCCCCCTCTCGCCAGGTAACTGAAAAGCTATTCAACTGGGGCAAAATAGATTGCAATCTGATATTCGAGTAGACGTCAGTGAGCTTCAATTACGGGCATCTCAGAGCCAAAGTCGGACATATGCTAAACCCTTGCCGTAGCGTTCTGTTCGTTCGTTCGTTAATTTGCGGGCCTGGCCAGATGAGCTCCAAGAATAATGTGGCATGAAAAATTCCAACGACCGAAAGTTGCAGCACTTAATTGCCAGAGCCCCCAAAAGGGCCAAGTTGTGAAATATTGATACTCGTACTTATGCATAAAGGCCGAGCCATCCCGCACTCCATTGCCACGTATTGAGCCCGATAAAACCGGCTCGTTTCGAGGGTCTCTCAGCTCATTTTAAGCGCACTTTAATGGCAATTATTCGCCTGAGTAGCTGTTTGTGTTCTCAAACTTTTGCCCGGAGGGTAAGGGTGAAAGTAAAGCTGTGGGTGAGTAAAAAGCGTCAACAGCCAGACACTGGCTGACTGGCAGGCAAGCTGGCAAAGCAAAACAAACAAGCCACATACTCGGTTGCTCGGATACCGGGATACTGGGGCACTCGCATACTCACAACACAGCAGCCGATCCTGCAGGATGTTGTTACTCGACATAAATCCGTTGGCGTGGCTGGCTGTGTGTGTGAGCGTATAAAATACTTGCAAACATTTTGCCGGTGCACGCACCAGATTATTAAAGTTCTGTGTAAATAGTTTATGGTAATCATAAAAGATATACCAAGCATTTCTGCTTTACGAGCAGGGCCAAGAATAAGGTGTCTCTCCGCTCCTTTTCTAACCCCTCTGCCCATCAAGCGGCAAACATGAAATATCACTCATACGCCCGGGTGTCCGCACTTAACACTGTCAACTCTTCTCCATCTACTTACACAAAATTGTGACAAAAGTGCGTTTAGCCGTTCTGCCATCAACGGCGTAACTTTGGCATTCCGCAATTAAAAGAATCAGGAAAGGCGCGAGTCGCGCATCAAAAATAACAACTTGCCACCTGAGTCGCAAATTTTTATGCTGCACATCAATTTCGAAGGAAACCAAAATGGCAGCAGCTCCCAGCATAACTTTGGCCAAAAGGGGCTCCCGAAAAAGGGTTAAAACTTTGTAGCTTCCGCGCTAACTGATGGCTGTTTGGCTGTCATTTTTCAAAGAACTCCGCACGGCGCCCTCGCCTTTCTGACCATTAAATACCCGTCCATTTTTTGTTGCTGTTTGCGCTTTTGGCTTCATTTTGGCCGCCCGGCAATTATCAAAGTTTGAGCCAAAAGTGCTGATTAATTTTTAATGTTTATCTTTGTCGCCGTGCTTTCCTTGGCTACCTGCTGGAAATTGCAGAGTCATTTCGGAAATTATAAAGTCATTTTGGCAGATTCCTCGAGTCGGATTTTTGAAATGGATGAATAGGATTGAAACCAGGTGCCGATTTAAGAGCTTTGGCTTTTTTAGATTCCATCATCTGGCTATATCAATTTTTCTATGGCAATTGGTTTCCTTAGCCTTAACTCTATGATATTTCTGGAGCTCTTACTTTTATATTTATCCTAAAATTAACTACCTTTACCTCGAATATTCACCGTGAAAAGGTTATATCAAACCAGTTCGTCAAACAATTGTACCCATTTCGTGACCTGGCACAAATGTAACCCACTCTGGGGGTCAGTGTCAGTGGCAGGGCACACAATTGCAACAGGGCACAGGGGCACAGTCGGGAGTCTCATCAGCAGATTCGCGGTCAGCTCTCTGACCATAGCCATGTTCATTGCGTTTTGTGGCTTCCTTCATTGGCCAGAGAGTGCGCGCGTGGTGGGTCTGCTGGATTTGGGCCGCAGCGGTGGCCAGTGGTCAGAGGAGCAAAATTCCTAACGAAGCGGTTAATGTGGGCAGTGCAATTATGAATTTATGTGCATTTATCCGCAGCATTTACCATTTACCCTTTTACACACGCATGTGCGAGTGAGTGAGAGTGCCGTCATAGACAAGCGCTGATTTCCACGTATGATTATTATATTTGATTTTTAGTTAGTTTCCGACGCTTTGTGGTCTGCGCGACACATAAATGCTAATAATGTGGGCAGAAATGAATTTGATTCATAGGTTCGGAATATTGATTATTGATTCGATGAGAAATGTAAGCTGTGTATTTTGCACACAAATATATTAAATATTTACAATAAAATTAGGAAAGGTAAGATATGGATATAAAAATGAGCAATTTGAATACTTATCATCGTTTTAGCTTTTTGATTTCTCCCCCATATGACTGTGTTTCTTAAATTCTTATATGGCTTTGGACATAACATAAAGTGAGTGTGGTATAAAGTTGATCCTTTCACCCCCTCCATGAATGGCTCCCACGTCAATTAGAGTTAATTTCATTAGCCGGCAATAACTTGCAGCACTTTCCACAAGAAACTACAAGCCCGACTCGAATTTACTCGACCCTTGCCGCTTTCGTAGCCAGCAACTGGTCGCGGAACTTTACTTTTTGGCTAATTTTGTTGCTGTTGTTCGTTAAGGCCCCGCCGAAGTTGAACGTCGCGTTTATTTGTGCGTCATTGTTGCTCCTTCTGCTGCCGCCGTTAAAAGTTGTTACTTTTGTTGTTGCTGCCTCGGCTGCTGCCGGAGTTACATTTGGCAATTAGCCGCTGCATTTTCTTGCACTTTCGCTGCTTTTGCATTGGTGGCATTTTGCTGCACTCCATCCTCTAGCACTTCAATACATATTTATTAGCCGCATTTGTTGGATTTTAGCTCAATTAAAAAGTTTTACTCGGCTACTTTTCTTCATTTGGGACCTGCCTTCTGACTCCGACCTCAACTTCGACTCGGGACATCTTGTTTTGTTTTGGCTTGGAGCTGGGAACTGGTAGCTAGCAGCTTGGAAGCTGGGATTTAGGGAGCTTGGGAGCTGCACTGCAGTGGCTGTCTGTTCCTTTTCTTTGAGCAACAGCACTAATTGCAATTACTTTTGGCCTGGCTGCCCAGGGGTCAGCAGTTAAAAAACGCGGTTAGGAAAAGTTTTGAATACCCTGGCATATGATTCGTGGAAAATATATTTAATGTTTAAGAAAGAATTTAAGCTTTCAGAAAAATTTAAAAATTATCTCAAAGAATAGTTTGTATTAGTTAATTACAAAAAGTCTTAAGTAATATTAATTTTTTAAAGATTTGTTATTTATTTCAAAGTTTACAGAGAGTCCATTGTTATTATTTATTTGGAAAAGTAAAGCAAATAAATAGTTAAACAAAACTTCTTACACCTAAAACCGTATATACCCCTGGAAAGTGTATGGAAAACAAGATTAGGAATTTATTATTTAGGACTTGACAGGATATGCATCGTTATAGAATTTTAAGGCAACTCCTCACCTAGCTTTGCCGTGTCTCAGCCAAGCAAATGATTGCCGGTGGCACTCCAACCCGGCGCCACATAGTGGGTTCGCTGCTTGTGCACCACCGTGCGCACCACAGGCACTTTGACCGGATAAGGATAGTAGACTGGCGTAGCCACCGGCTTCTCCACTCGGTAGGGTACTCTTCGCTCCACCACAAATGGAATGGGACGCTCTACGGGCACTGGCTTGACCCGTTCGATGGGTATCTTCACCTCTTGCAGCTGCGGAACTGCCACGGTTTTCGCCAAAGGTATCTTGATGGGCATGGGCTTGGGAATGGCAGCGATGACGGTGCGGGGCACCTGCACCTGGATCGTCTGCTTGTAGGGAACATGCTGCTTCTGGTAGTGGGTGATGGGCACATTCTTGGTTACCTCTATGTGCTTGGCCAGCGGCAATCCAGCCACGGCCTTGCTACTCGCCGGAGTATGACGAACGGTGGTTGTTATAGCGGGAAGATCGGCTACGCGCGAATCAGTGTGGGAGTACAGCAGCTGCTGATCCTGGGCCACACCGAGGCGCTGTTGCTGCCGTTGATCCTGAATATATCCTAAAGGTTTCTGCAGTACGTGTTGCTGGTTGAGCTGCTCATGTTGCTGCTGCTGAGGCTGATTGTGCTGCTGCTGCTGATGCGGCTGCTGCTGATGATGTTGCTGTCTCCCTTCCAGCTGCTGGTATTGTCGCTGTTCCTGGGATTCTTGTCGCCCTGCCAGTTGCTGTTGACTGGATAACGACTCCTCCCGCTGCTCCCGCTTCACTGGGTTAGCCAATGTTTGCAGCTCTTTGTGGCGCGCATAGACACCGGAATTATCCAGCTGCTCCTCCTGCCGTTGGTCCTGGTTCCGGTAATTGGAAATTTGCTCGAAATGGTAATGATTGGGACGCGTCGGCGACGACACCCGCGGCCGATATGCAAAGCCTTCGTAGGGCTCCTCGTAGCCCGCGGAATTTGGCTCATAATTTGCCGCATTAATGACAAAATCGATATTGGCCGATGGGTCGCGCCGCGTCACCTCATCCTCGCCAGCGAACTGCGAAAGTGAGTGCGAGGGCGACTGCGAGTGCAGTTGGCTGCTGTAGTAGAAGGGCACAAAGCCATTGGCGGTGGCGGGATATGGCGATGATGATACTGGATGTGGATGTGGATGTGGATCCGTGTGCGGGTGGTGGGCGGACAGGAGCTTGTGAGCATAATTTCCATATGTTGCCAAGTCATCGCTCGGTGCAGTGTCAGCGGGGCCATAATAATTTCGCGTATATCCCGTTAATCCCGGCAACGATTCCACGCCCGTCTCGTGGTAATGGTGTTTTCCCTGCGCCAGAGACAACAGCGGGATCTCTGCCAGCGATAATGGCAGTGGGGCATCGATGGCACCTACTGCCTCCATTGTCATGACCAACGAGAGCCACATTAATGCATAGATCATTAATGAACTGTTGGCCGGCGGACCGCTGCCTTGGCCAGTATATGGCGGCCTCATGTCTGCGGCTTCGGGTGGCTCCTATTTCGAGTCCTAGCACAGTCCTAATCCTCGAGCGCAGGCAGCTGGCGTGGGTGTTGGTAGTCTGCTTTGAAATGCAAATTTTTGCCATCTCGTTGGTGTTTTTATAACGCAGCCATCCGCTGAATGGGGCTCCTAGCTGAAATTGGATAGGCGTGTCGGCACTTCAAGTTCATTGGCTTGGCTCCGGATTGTGTAAGTGGAGGCCATCACTTTCACTTGGCGGCCCAGCGGTCCAGATTGTCCCTTTCAAATGCCAGTGTCCACAGTTCACCATATGAAATCCACAGCCACCGCAATTGTAAAGCCATCATGAACAACGACCTCTTGGACAGTGGTTCGAGCGGGTGAGTGTTTAATAACAAATGTTTAAAGTTTTGAAAAGAATCTTAAAATCAAGAGTTTGATTTCATTGTTAAACATTTGAATGTATGTTAATTTGAAATAAAAATTACTACATTAAAATAAATCTAGAACATAAATTTGATATATAACGTTATGTTTTTCTTATTTATTTTTTTTTCTAAACTTGGCTAAACCTTTTTAAGGTTAATGCACTTCTCACTCCGTTTTCACTTATTTTTCCCTAGCTTCTAGTCAATGTCTCGCTTACCTTATAGCTGGTAGCCGCATCCGATTTCACACTGTGGAAGCCTGCGGTCAATGTCGCGGCCATTTCGATGTTTGATTGCACAAATGGTGACGCTGGGTGACGTGCGTTTCATGTGTTTGCGGTGAAGCAATCGTCTTCTGCCAAGTGCATAGCCCGTGGGTTAAGCGGCCATATGAGACCCAGTTCATATCTCCGATTTCTGCACTTTCAGTTTTCAATTGGATGCAGTTGACGACATTTTGGTATCGATGTCTTGCATAATTTACGAGCCTCGCCCTCCACACATTGAAACAGACAATATACTTAGGGGCAAAAGCGATTCAATATAGTTTTTGTGAAGGAATCTTTTATAAGAGAGTTCGATAAACGCAAGGAATTATTTTGCTATATTATTATTTGCACCAAATAAAATACCAAATTTATTTGCTTTATATAAACCAGATAAAAAAAAAATTTTATAAGAAAGAAATCAATTTTATATTGAAGAAACCCTTTGATGCATTAATATTTAAATAATAATAAGTATTTATTTCCGTTACATCTTTTGTAGGACAATAATTTTAACTATAAGGATCGAAGGCTAATTTTAACTAGATTTCCTGGCTAGAATGATAACAAAGTAAAGATTTGTTTTGTTTGTTATTAGGAGCTCCCAGAATCTGACAAATATTTTTTTCTCGGTGCATTTGGTGAAACGGGAAATCAAATAGTTCCTCACCCGCGAACAGCGTGGAGATAAAGTGAGTTCTTCTGGTTGCCGGGCGAGCATCTTTGGATCATTCATCATTCTGCTCTGCATTTAAGTTTGAAAAGTTCACCAGGTTTTTGGCATCGCCCCCTTAGCCATCATCAGTCCCGCCCTCCCCCCTCACCGCACTCTCAACACAAAGTATTTGCACAATTGCTGCTCGAGTTGCGCCCGAAATGACAGCGCAAAGTACACGTAAAGTGTATTTTCACATTGAATGAGGTTAAGCTTCGTTAAATTTTGCGCAGCGTTTCTGTATAGTTACACCCCTCCGCTTTTCCGACCCCCCCCCTGCTAACCACTTTTCGCCCCAGAAGTGTGTGTGTGTGTGAGTGTGTATGAGGGGGAGGTGCGTCGTGTCGTGGTTACTTGTTGGATGCATTTTTTTCGCTCCTTTTTCATTACTTCAAATGCTTTCAAGTCTCGTGAAGCATATTTTAGCAAAGTTCCCATAGAAAAGAAGCCAGCCAGCTAGCCGGGCCAGCTTAATATGGCCCGAATGATGGGTGCTGGGATGCTGGAGGTGCCCGGGGGTGCCCGGAGCGGTCAAAAAATAAACAAGATGGAAAAGAAAAAATGGGGAAAAATCTACGAAAAAAAAGTTAAACGCTTGCATACACATACTTATTAAAGTTCAAAGTTTCTTTTTGCGTTCTGCATAAAATCCATCATAAAATTAACAGGCGAAGCAGGAGGAGCGCTTGCTGTGACACTGAAACTTCATTAAGTCACGTTAAAACGTTAAAATGTGGGCAATGGTCGAAGGAAAAGGCAAAGTCAACGTTCCCCGGTACCCGGGGCTCGGCCAGAAACAGAAGCCATGAGCCTTGAGCCAGCCAAGGGAGCCAGCAAATAGCCAAGAAATTCCAGCTATGCCATAGTTGGCAACGTTGCCGGCCTTTGTTTGGCCTTTGCAAGAGAAGGTTTTTTCCGGCTGCTGCTGGGGGGGGCTGTGGATCGAAGGGGAGGCCAGTCAGCGTTGCATGCGAATTTAATCAAGTCATGCAATAGAATTTACGGTTCCATTGCTGGTCCACAGATTTGGCCCAAACTTGGCCTTGGCTATAGTTGAGGGCCTAATGCCAACTGTCTCCGTGCTACCACCCCCAAAGGCACTCCCTTTATTCTTGGAAATGTGCTGTGTTTCTTGTGTTTTTCTTCAATGTTTGCTTTAAAGCAATTTGCGGTCCTCGAGTCGCGGGTCAAAAAGTTCTTTTGCATACATTGCTGAGGCACATTGGAATGAATTTTTGGAATATTATTAAAAATATGTAAGACATAGAAAAGGTAATTTTAATAATGTATATCTTAGTTAAGTTATCTAAATTAGGAAAGATAATCAAATTTAGGAAACAGATAATCTTTTTCCAAGTACTTCAGGGCTTTTAAAACCATTTAAAATGTGTAGAAAAGTATGAATGAACAATGATATAGTGCCTATATCAATATTATTTTATATTCCAAACTTCTCTTTATGGTTTTCTTTAACATTTCACAATCATCTTATCACAGTGCATTAAGTTTTACTTGTTTACTGCCTCCGCCAGCGAGAATTCTTAGGAATTCTTTGCCAAAAGTAACTGGCGGCATTTCAGGGCCTCCGCCCAGTCGCCGGACATACAGAGTTGTTGACTCAGGTGACCGAGGACACAGCCTCGCGTTTTGTGGAAACTTTTCGATTGACTTGAATGTCAACGCTGGCAGGTCGTTGTGCCGCTCTTGTTCTTTAAATAAATATCAACAATTCTAATGTGCTGCAAAAGTGACCAAGGCAGGCAGAAGAGGGGCAGCGGAAAGGCAGGAAAAAAAATTAAAATTTTCATTACCTTCCGCGAGTGTAGGAGCCTTTGCTTTGGCCAGATTCCTGGCCCGTCCTGACCTGGCCTGGCTTTGGCCTGGCCTGCTGGAAATTTGCAAACCGCAATCAAAATTCCACACCGCGGCTCTTAATTGGTCTTTCTTCAGGACGACCAACGGAGTTTCCTTTTCTTTTATTTCGATTTTGCTTGTCTTGGCCGCCACCTCCTGGCCTGCTTCCTTTCCTTTCATTTCATTTGATTTTCTTTTCATTTTTGTTTTCGCCGGCGTCCCACACAAATGCAAATTTCAATTACGCGTATTGCGGGGCCAAATTGAAATGCCTTGGAAAATATTTTCCTGCCCTCACTAATAAGAAATGCAGCGCGGGCTTCAACTCTGTTCGGTTCAGTTCCCTATTTCCACCCAGTAGATATAGAATTATGGGGTATATGGAACTTTACGACAAGACTGATTATAGGTAATAATATAGTCTCAATATTGTTTTGGTTTTTATTTAGCTTAGTTAGCTGCCTTGTTTGTTATTAAATTCAATTTATTTAAAATTTTTAGTTTTAGCAACACCATTTATGGTCTGTTCTCTGTGAAAGAAGCTTAGTAGAGCCGAAATTCGGTTCCCAAAAAAGTGCAATGCATTTCATTATACAAATTGAGAGCCAGGTATTTAATGGTCGGGTCACTTGGCTACATAACTCATCCCTCTGCTTCCCCGATCAACAATCGCGTGCATTTCATTTGCATTTGGAATGCGCGCAAGTTCGGTCTTACTTGAAATTTATTTGCTAATTTTGTAACATGTGTCCTGTTTGGGGTAAGTTGAAAACTTTTCACTCGAAATTTGAATGGCAAATGGAAGGCGGCGGGTGGATGGCAGGACGAACGGGCAAGCGGACGAACGAAGGATACTAAGGCAAAATCCATTTGGCTTCTGCGGTTAATGAAAATTTCATTTGCTCGGCCGGCCAAAGTTTTGCATCTTTGCTTTTGTGTTTGCGGGCGACCAGAGAGAGGGGAAGAGGCTGCGGCTGGTTTGATGGCATCTAGGAAATTATTTCATTTAATTGCCATTGAAATATTTAATATTAATTAATGTTCCTTAATTGCTGCTGCTTCCGCTGCTCCTTCAACTCATTAAAAACACATCAGCTCTCGGCGTGGCCTCACACATCTTGGTCACGCTCTTGTGGCCGACGCTCATCATATTAGGAGTATTAATCTTAATAATTGCTGCATATTGCCAGAAAGAATGCCGCAACAACAATGCGAAAAGTTGGCAAAACAAAAGCCGAAACTCGGACTTGTGTCCTCTCGGAATGTCCTTTCGCAGACCGGCAGATGAGAAGCCAACTTTTGTGTGAGCCATTTTCTTGTCCCTCAGTTATGACGCGAGACACTCACTTTGTGTCTTTAACTTTTGGCGAATTATTAATGAATTCTGAATCCTAGCCCGAGGTCAGACAGGATTTTGTCCGTTTGCAAATAGAATTAAGCTTCAAAGTAAAGTTGTGACTTTAATCGAGATATATATGTTTTTTGTTTGGCAAACGATTGTCCATATTGGCAATATAAATTCCGTAAATAGTTTTGGATTCCCCCCCAACTGTCCTCTCACATTTCAAGCATTTGCAATGACATAAGTCTAAACGAAAACTGGCATTTTCAGAGCGATCCTGATCCTACCGGAGTTAAGGCGTGCTGGACTGGCAACTGTAACTGATACCGGCAGGGGCTTTTAGCCTGGCCAGCCTGGACATCGAATGCAAAAGGCATTGATGGACT